AAATGCAAATCATATTCCTTAATCAAAGGTTTATTCTGAGCTCACTTGAGGGCAGGGAATAACATTTGGTAGCATTTCAAACATATTTTGAATAGAAAATTTCAAAATATAAGAAAGACTACTTAAAACGAAAACAAATTCTCGCTGCTCATCTTATTATGGGTTCAAAATACAATTAATTGCAATTAATTAATTTTAATCGAGTAATTTCTTATCGACAATTAATTGATAATCGATTAATTGCTTACATCCCTAGTTAGACCCTTAACTACCAGCGAAATTTCCAGCTCTAAGTTGCATTGGATAACTGTCAACATGGTGAATAACTATTTTAATGAGACTATTTGTCGATGGGTTTTGCCAAAGCACCTCCCCTTGTCTGTCCATGTTTACTGGATGAGAATATTGTGACCGTCTTGTGACTCCTATGCTTTCCATCTGGCCGGTGAAACTCAACCCTTGTTGTTTTTATGTGTCTTTTTAAAAACGCTGGTACTGCATAGGAAAGGTGACATAGGCTGAGTGGATTAGGGGTGTTTCCTAACAGTGAATAAAAGTGAATTTACAGCTATATCCTTACCTCAATATTCAAACAAGAATTCATCCTATGTAGCATCTGTTTTGCTAGTTTCTTAGTGGCCCTTTTTTTACAGCATTTTGTATTGTGCCTTCTTATCTACCTTATCTACATCGAACACATGCTCTCTAACTCTTGGGTGGTTTATGGACTTGAGTTTCTACTTATTAGCTATGGTTTCGCTGTTCTTATTGACAGCTTGTAGAAATGATCCATTTATCAAAATGTGTCATCAGAGTTTTTCTTGGCTACACATTAGAGGATTTATTAGAGGCAGTGAGTTTTGGTTACACTAAGCTAATGTGTATAAAAGGAAGTTCTGAACAATCTAGCTCTTACAGCTGTTGTCTGGCTTGTATTTTGATTTCTGTTTTAAACCTATGGGGAAAAATTTAGAGTTCTATATTATGTTCTGAATTTCCTGAAATGGTTAAGAAGAAACAAAGTGAAGACTAACAGCAGCATTTGCTGTTCACTGTAGAAGATGGTAGTTATGTGGCAATTTCCATGTTTTACCGAATTTTGTATTCATTGCTAAATTTAGTTTTAGATTTTTGGAATCTTTTCTTTGCTTTTCTTTCTTTGCCCCTAGAACTGCCAAACACTGGAACATAAAACATTCTGGTATCTGCTCTTCCACTTTCTACTCTCACATTCCTTGTGTTTCATTTCCCAACCCCAGGTGGAGTTTGAGGCCCTAAAGCTTGAGCTGATCCAGAAAGAGGAGGAACATGAGCAGCTAAAAAGGCAACTGGCAGAGGCGGGCCGCCTGAGGGAAATTGCAGAGCGTCAGCTAGAGGACGCTCTGGAGACCCTTGAAGATGAAAGGGAGCAGAAGAACAACCTGCGGAAGGAGCTGGCTGCCCTGGCAATCAATCCCTTTGATTCTGTGGGCAATCTGGAACTTCACCTGGGCCAGCTAGAGGAGAGCACAGAAGAAGCAGGAGACCAGGATAGTGGCTATAACAGGTGGCCCCAGATAGCCTTCAAGGCAAATGGAGAACATTGCTGTTCCACCCCCAGGAACAGTGGCGTCTTCCTGCGGGCTCCTGCACCAGGGCTAGTGTCAGACTTGCTCAGTGAGCTACACCTTTCTGACAGTCAGAAGCTGAAACAGCAGCTGACCCAGGTATCTGTTCCTCGCTTGTTGAAATCACCAGTATGGTGTCTTAGCTCAATCTGTTTTGGTAGAAAAGGAGTGTAGGAATTTTAAAAGCACAGTGTACCCAGTGTCATTTTGATTGGCTAGTCTGTCACTTGGTGGAGGTACCTCATGTTCTCCCTCAAACGGCTCAGTGATCTGTTGTTTCCGGCTTTACATAGACCTGTGACCACATCCTGTGTGAGTAGTACCACACTACCATTTTATATGTCCTATGTGCACAGGAAAAGTGAAAATTAACCTTTCTTAAATAAATGTCATTTCCATTAATAAAATTCTAGCATTTTTATCTTGTTACATTGAACACCCCCCCCTTTCATTTATTTATTTATATATATATATATATACACATATACACACACACACACACACACACACACACACACACACACACACACACACACACACACTGCTGCTGATCGTCATGCTCATATTTGTATTTTTACCTACTTAGGTAGAGAAGGAGAAGGGCCTCCTGTCCGGTACAGTTAAGGAGCTGCAGGAGGAGCTGGAAGTTTGCAGGCAAACCCTGGCCGAGGACCAGGAGAAGATGGCCTCTCTGACCAAACAGTTGGAGGTCCTTCAAGGGTGCCAAGACCACATGCATGGAAGCCAAGGGAATCCTGAAGGTGTGGAAATGCCTGGTGTTGGGCACCATGGGGAGGGTGAACTCTGTGAACTGGTGAATGGTGTAGAACAAGGAACGCTAGCAGCTAGTGAGGAATCTCGACTGAGGGAGGAGCTAAAGGAGGCAAACGTGCAATATGCCAAACTGGAAGGCAGGTACCAGCAAGAGAAGGAGAGATGGAGGGGTGAAGCCCAAGAGCTGGCAGGGAAGATACGGCAGTGCATCCAATCTAGCCAGCAGGACCAGGAACGCATCCTAGCATTGGAAAAGGAAATTGGGGCCACAATGAAAGTAGCATCTGACTCAGAAAGCCATCTCAGCACTACGCAGGATGAGCTACTGGTCTTCTCTGAGGAGCTTGCTAACCTCTACCACCATATATGCATGTGCAGCAACCTCACGCCTGTTCGTGTCACGTTGGACTATTATCGGCATGGTGCACGCGCACAGCACAGCCACCATGGACCTCTGCGGAAGCGGCGCTCCTCTGAAATGTTCACAAAAGTGTCTACCACCTGCAGTATGGACGGCAGGGCTGCCCCCGGGGGCGATAGTGGGGATTCTTCACCTGGGAGCCCTGGGGCCAGCAGTTGCCCCGGCTCCCCGACGCTGGACTTCCGGGATCCCACCAATGTCCGGAACCTGATGGCTGTTATACGGAACCAGATGAAGCACTTGCAGGTATGACCAGCAGTGTGGTCATGGTGGAACCAGAAGTGCACATTGAGGTCCAAAGGGCATAGCTTGGATGTGTTTGGGTCATTTTGGAGCTTTGTGTCTGCAGTGTAACAGCATGCTATTCATTAACTAGACAAGCAATATCAGTCCTGTTACCTAATGTGTAAGAGGATGAGCACTGATCCTGATCTTTGTAGATCATTTCAAATGTGGTATAGCTGGATGCATGACCTGGATTTAATCTATATAAGGACAGCCTGAAATGTTGTTATAGTGAATGTCTTTGCTTTACTCTTAACTCCAGGTAGCATTTGATGCATGTCGCCGGAGGGGGGCTCTGTCCTCCTCATCTAACCTGGGTGTGCATGACACCGATATGGACACAGAGACTCTGCTTGAAGAAGTGCTGAAGCTTAAATCCCTTCTTAGCACCAAGAGGGAGCAGATTGCTACTCTGAGGACTGTCCTCAAAGGCAACAAACAGGTGCCCTCACTGCTTTATGCTCATTTCCTGGGGGTTTGTTTAGTTTATGGTGTGAGTATTGGGGTTGGGTAAGAAGTATGCTACAGGAAATGGTTCCCTGAAAGAGAGCTTTGCTTTCCATTGTTAATTTGCAGTAGTTTTTTTTTCTTCTCTCAGTTGAGTTCAGTAAGTGATGGTGTTGAAGGTAATAACTTAAACAAATTACCATTTGGCTCATCAATAGTAACCTGCTAACCAAAACAATCTGTCTTTTCACAGACTGCGGAGATGGCCTTTACGACGCTCAAGACCAAATATGACACAGAGAAGAGTGCCGTTTCTGAAACGATGTTGAAACTAAGAAATGAACTCAAAGCTCTCAAGGAGGATGCAGCCACCTTCTCTGCGCTCCGGACCATGTTCGCCAGTAGGTCAGTACCATGTCTCCGTCATACTGTCCGATGGCTCCTTTAAACACGCCCCCGGAAAGATGGCACTGGTCGAACCGCACGTTTAACCGGTTCCGGCCATCCGCACTGGGGGAAAAAACTTGTTCTCCAGGTTTTTTCAGCCCTTTGGGAGATACTGGGAAGTGGGTTATAGCCTGATAAGAATATGCCTCTGTCCTCTTAATGCAGATGTGGTTACAGCTACAGCTTTGCAGGATCCATATCTATTCTGAACCCAAAGGCCTGTGTTTGTCCTCATACTGTCTCAAAATATGAATGCTTGTAATTTGTGAATGGGCCCAGGCCAGCTTGCTCTGTGAATCGAATGAAAACCCGAGATACATGGACCATGTTCTCCCCACTGTGTCAGACTACATAATGGCATTGAACCAGCTTAAGTGGAATTACATTGTAAATGGACTGTGCCTGATGTGATGAGGTCAGCAGTAGCAGGTTGGTTCACTTCAAAACCAGAGCACTCATTTCAGTTAGAGGTCACTTGTGTCCTTTTCGTATAGAACTTTCAAACATTTCAGGTACGATGTAAGATTGAAGCAGCACCACACAGTGGTATCAAAGAGAAAGGTAGCCTCACACACTCATCTTGTTAGTGTAATAAGTCAGAGGTATTTGTCAGATCTTTGTATAAGAAAAGGTCTAACTGATTTTGAGACAAATTGCACCAAAATTGAAGCAGTGCCACTTAGCGGCAGAAAAGGGAAGGGTGACTGCAGAAGACACTTGACCTATTGATGGATCTTATTACTACGTCATGAAACCATTATATGGATGAGTATCTACATTGGCTTTCATTTTGAGAAATATTACATCAAATTTAAAGCAGCAGGATTAGGTGGCAGCAAAGGAGGGAGAGGACAGTCACAAAAACACTTGCGAACACAGCAACTCCAAAAGTATTCGATGGATCTTATTCCAGACCTCCCAGGAACATTGTTGTAGGTAGTTGTCTGAACTAATTAATCTTGAGATTAAATAAAAGTAGTGTCACTTCATAGTGGCACAAAAAGGGTCAGCCACTGACATGGATGTGGTGAACCTGATTACTCTGAGTCGCACAAAGTTGGGCTTTTAATAAAGTCCACCCCACCCAAGAGTAGGGCTGATGATAGGGCTACATCCGTTTAATACCGAAAAGTTGCCCAAATGTTTCACCTGTCGCCTGAAGCCCTGGGGGTTATTGTACATACACATTATAATATCGATATGATATCTCCCAGCCCTATTGAAGAGGTGGAGAGAGTATGTTGGGGAGTGTGGGAGAAGTAAGGGTTAGATGGGGGGCCAGGGGTAATGGGGGTAAAGTTATTTCTGATTTGCTCTCAGGTGTGACCAGTATGTGACACAGATCGACGAGATGCAGAGGCAGCTGGCCATCGCTGAGGACGAGAAGAAGACCCTGAACTCGCTGCTGCGCATGGCCATCCAGCAGAAGCTGGCCCTGACGCAGAGGCTGGAGGGCCTGGGGGCCCCCTGCTGCTCGCACAGTGGCCACAGCAGCCCTCGCCGCTCCCGCTCCAATCGGCTGGACACCCCTCGGTCTGGCCAGACCTCGAGGAGCCCGTTGGGGTGTCCCATGCGGCCACCAAGGACCAATCCCCACTCCAGCCCAGTCAGGAATGGCAGCATTTAGGTGAGCAGCCAAGCCAATTTGATCCCCCTTCCCCCAGACTCTGTGTTAGGGCCCTGTAAGCCCCCGCTGTCACACTGGCCTACTACTGCACCACACTGAAACATAATCTTATCAACTTCATTCCACAATGAACTTAGTTTCAAGCTACAGTGCAAATTTCACAAAGGTAATCTTATCCCATTTTCCAGACAATGGCTCCACTGAATAGCTAGTATAGCAAATCACTATTTTTTTATTTTTTTTTTAAAGAATCCTTCTTGCCCTTTAACCAGCAAAATGTCATCATAACCACATACTTCTAGGTTTTTCCTGTGAGGAAACCTATTTCAGATGCTTTGCATGTCATTGTTTTCAAGATCTATTAATTAGTTTGGTCATTTTTTTTATGGCTTTCGGTGATCATGTTTAATGGGATACACACGTGTATTCTGAGAAGACCATAATATACTGCACTGTGCAGCCAGATGACTTTCTTTTAGTCTAAGCATTAGGCTTTGTTAGTCATGAGGTGGTTCTGGCACTTTTATAGTGATCACATTTAACCTGCCTTGGTGCATCACATTTTACAAAATATTGTTCATAAAGACCAGTTGCCATTTATCATACCAATTAAATAATCACTTTTGTTCTGATAAAGCTGATTCAACTCCCAAAAAGCTTTCACACCTCTGCACTACACTCCTTGATCAGTGACCACAATTCCCTGCGTTCTTTCTTTAGTCATTTACTTATTTGTGAATTTATAGGCTAATGAGGAGAGCAGAATAATTCATGGAACATGATGTTTTGGCTGGTTAGAAATTTGTTTTGATGCAGCAGTCTTTTAAGTTGTTTGTCTAAATTTATGTAAGAAATACCTGGGTATTTAAAGACTGAAATGCATAGTCCCCCGGGTGGTCATAAATGTGGCTGTCATTGCCATCCATTTCTTCTGTTGCAAGCTACTTGTATCCAGAATGCAGTTTCTATATTTGTATGTAAAGACACAGCTGTGCATCTCATGTCCAGGTCCAGTTTGAGTTCCCTGCTCTCTGATTGATCAGTCACTTTAGACTGCACCATAAAATGTCATTTAATATCCAAAAAAGAAAATTGTGCAGCCCCATCTTAAACATAAAACGGGGTTAACTTTGTAAAATGTGCGCATGTGATTAGGTTTCAGTATTTACTTTGCAAGCAAATTCAGAAATGATTACCAAGTTGTGACTTCCAAGATTGCTCCCATTCTGGAATTGCTGACTAGCTGATGTTTTTGTGACCTTTTCAGCCAGTTTAAGGATTGTAAAATTCCTACAGAAATTACTTTTTTTTTTTTTTCCCCCCCCCAGTAGAAAAAAAATCAGGTGCGTGGAGAAAGCCGTTCCTGCCATCCATCACGTCTGCTGGAAACATTCATTCTGATGGATATCAGGAAACCTTCAAAAAAATTGTCTTGCAGCACACAGATCACTACAGCAAGCCAAGGTACTCCACAGGCTTTCGACTGAAGATGTGTGTTTCCACTTTAAACAACATGTTAACGGGCAACTTTGAAAATGATTTAGCAGAAGCAGTCCCTAACGATTTCATGGAGGACACACAGAATTATTAAAATGCCTAATGTCATTTATTTTCACATTTATGCTGATCATGTATAGCGTCGCTGTTCAGGACTTTCTGTAATCAAAGTGCTTAACCACGTCTTTGTGTAGACAGTACTAAATAATCCTGAACCATCTTTTTGTTTCTATTATGCTTTCCCTACTACATGAAAACCAAACGTCCTTGGAACAGTTCTGTTTCTCTGCTGCTTTGCACTGTTTTTCGTGGGTGGGCAGCAGTTGGAATACTTGTTCAGAACAAAGAATACATTTCATAGAATAAAACTGTATAAACTAGTAACATAGAAATTTCCCATTTCTGCTGCACTTTTATTCTGTGTCTGTGTGTGTGTGTGTGTGTGTGTGTGTGTGTGTGTGTGTGTGTGTGTGTGTGCGTGCCTGCATGATAATCCTGTGTGCCTGGGCAAGCTTGACAGCTAGCTCGACTACAACCAGTTTTTTTTTGTTTTTGAAGGAGTTCCCTGTGCGATTTATACTTTGCACAGGTTAGTGCAAATGCAAGGTCTGACTTGTTCTTCCTGAAGGCGGTGTGCTGTAGTGTTAAGGATATTCCTGCTATGAAGCGTGAAGTGAGACCAGTGACGGGGGGGAAATGCTGTTTATCGGGGATTTTTCATTTGAGAAAGTGCCTTTATTCTCAGTTATTAAACTTGCCTATCGCAACAAACATTCTTAAAGCAAACATCTGAACCAGTTGTGTAGGGTGTGTGCGTGTGTGCGTGCACACGCATGTCTCCATATATTAAGTATATACTGACTGTTAAGTCTGACAAAATTAAGACTTAAGGCATTTAAACAATGTGCCTTGGTGCAATTGCATTTTGTGTTACCTTTCTGTATTTGAGATTGAAGATGGTCTGTTTTATCAACTGAAAATGCACAATGAACATTTTAGAAATATGGGTGGGGGATGTTATGTTACAGCAAAGTTTGTATTTGTTTTCTCTGTCCACCAAAAAAAAAGAGCTGTAAAGAATTTGTGTCTTTTTCTATTTGATATGAAGTGTTTTATACAGGAATGATTTATGTTTAACTGTCCGTTTAGTTTATGTATGTTATATAATAAATCCCAACATAAGAAAATTGTACGTACTGCAGTTCTTAAGAGCTTGGTATCCCTCCTCCCCCCCGCCCGAAAAATGATCAATTCATTTCCTCTGCGCTGTAGGTGATTAGGCGGCGGAAGGCAACCGCCTGTTTTGCCTAGAGCTAGTGCTAGAAAAGTGTGCAGTTCAACGCATTTTAAAATATACAGGAATATGAGTCGTCTGAACCAACAGTTAATAAATATTAACTTAATCGTTATGACTATTGTAATGAATATATTTTAAGTCGGCAACACAAAAGGACCATCTTATTTGACCACTAGAGCGCAGTCTTATCAATTTGGAAGCATACGCCCAGTGTAACGGGTAATATAGCATTATCGCATTTTGGACGTTCCCGTGCCGATTAGATGTCGTTGTTTACTTCCACTTTGTCATGTAGGTTTCCCCCACAAACTCGCCTCATTTATTAATACAGTCCTATTTGCTTTGCTGAAGCAATAGTCGAATGTCTTAGAGCTCAAGTTAAGTTCCTTAACGGCTAAGTTGGCTTATACTATGGTGTGGTGAGCATTTTACTTAAGCTAGTTGTGAGTAGCAAATAATCATCAGTGAGCTATTTGTTTAAATGAGGTAGTATTTGTTAACCAGAAACTCCAACTTATCGAAGTGTTATCGCAAATCAATCAAGAGATTAAGCAAATAAACATCCTCGACTCGTGAGAAGATGTTTATTTTGTTTACTCCAATTTAGACGATTAAATGAATCAATTCTGAGTGCTACTTTAACCCCATTGAATGCCCCAATAACTTTCGGAAGATTATGAACATTTACGAAGTTATCATTTATGTGATCAGTGAGCTGCAAATGGTTAGTACACCTTCTATTCATGCCGAAGCTGACTGGTGGTCAATCTTGAGTGACCAAGTGATTGCAAACATTATGATGACCTCACCACTGATCACGAGCTACATTTCCTTTATTATTGAAGGGCATAGGAAGTAGATATCAATAATTCCTCAATTACTGGTCAGGTTTTTACCCTTCCTGTCACATGTGCATTGTTTTGCAAAAAGTTGCGCAGTATGCTAAACACGTTTCTATCCATATTATCTTAGTATTAATCGTGTTGTGGTTGAATAAGTATAACAAATGTGTTAATCGGTTCGAAACAAGCTGGCATTAAATTATGTCGCTATAACCAAGCTGCATCTGCTGGGGAAAAAAACAATATTGTCTGTTGTACATTCGTGGAAATAATTTCAATAATATCTAGTCTTTAAAATCGAAAGAACGGATACATTGTTTTGAATAATCGCACAACTTGGAAAACAGCTTGTATATAACGTGCAAGCGCGATCCTAATTTGGTTCATATATGAAAAAATATCATTTCCGTAACATAATGTTACTTCTAGCTGATGACCACACTCTCCAGCAGTCACGTAGCGCATGCAGGCAATCATAAACCAGGACCGTATTTAGCCAATCACAAAACTTAAAACAGATTCTGGATTTTACACCGAAGACGCGTATTGGGCAAAGCGACATGTAAACATACCTCTGAAACATTCACAAGTGCCTTGGAAAATTGGCCTTCAACTATTGGGCAAAATCAAAATCAGTCACGGTCTTCCCTCTATTTCATTGGTTTGACGTCGTCTTTTTCTTTTGCGCCCGTCATTTTCCCCGCGGGGGTAAATGTTTTTGCCGCTGCTATTATTCATTCAGTACTGGCTAAGTCAAAAGAAGGAAGGTGTGGAGTCACGTAGGTGAAAAGATCATTTCCAACGTGTGATTTCAAGTTTTATGTCAGTTTTCGAATATTGACTTAAAATGTCCTGCAAGAAATTAGGAAAATTAGGCTCTGCGTGGTGGCAGAAAAGTAGGGGGACCACGCCTTTGTCAAGATATGCAAAAATTCAAGCTTTTGCGTGTGGAAGCCTGGCCTCTGGTGGTTTGGATAGCAATGGGGGGAAATGTTGCAAAAACGGCCCTAACAGCGAGTCGAACCCAAGTACAAATGGAGTGTCCGTTCCTCCGTCGTCTTCCTCTCCGGCTCATAGGCACCATGTCGTGGGCAAGAAGCGTGGCGAAGAGTCCATCGGTGCATCTGGACGCTCATTTTCCTCCACCGCTCCTAAGATCGACCCAAAGATCTACTTGTGGGCTCGGTATAACGAAATGAAGCGGCTGGTGCACGGTACGTGGGAAAAAATCGTATTTTGCACCTTGTATATTTGAAGACAGTAATATTTGCCATTTGCACACATGTCAGTATTATAGTAGAGCCGCGTCGCCTTACCGTGGTTTGCTAACGTTAGTGTAAATTCCCTACGTACTTTTTTTGTACCTTAACTTAAAGAGTTAAGCTTTAGAAACTATATTGTATCCGTCTCACTAAATCACATTTTGCACATAGTTCGAGGATATCCCTCTTTATTGTCCACACCAAAGCAATAAATGGTGCATATAGTGTAAATGATTTTGGTAAAAATCTCGATTTCTAAGAAACAGTTAGGTTTTACCGGATCAATTAAAATTAAACCCGTTTCCTTTTTAATCAAATACTATTTGCATAATTTTCAGAACGTGTAATATGATGTTCTATACTAACGCTTCCCGTGCATTTTTGGATCAAAACAATATTGTTGTATTTATTTCTTTTAAAAAGATAATTACGTTTTCCAACTAAATTGGTTTATCTACGGATTTACATGGTGAGCCTTGAAGATTTGTCTCCGCTGATTGTCGTTGCAAATAATCAATCACCTTAGAAAACCAGGAGAAAGTAGTAAACATCCTCTTTTAACTACAAAGACACTGGTCCTGTGTAGTCTGTCTGCCACGTCCCCATACTGCCATTTGCTCGTCGGTGCAAGGAAATCAAATAAATGTTCTTAAGGAGGCAAAATGCACAGTCTCGTTGACTTTTGCTGCCCCTAATGTGAGCATTGCTTACGTAGATTTGGTGAAGTCGTTGATTGTTTTTTTCTTTTGCATGCGCAATAAGCAGTGAAGAATACGTTGCATTCTTGCAAAAAACCGGAACTTACTGGATCAGCATGTACCGTACAATATGCACACTTGTGGGTGGTTTGTGACACACCTCTGCAGATCTGTTTACATCTTTTGTTGAATTTAAACCCGTGGAATTAATCTAGGGGAAAAGATTAAAAAAATGTGCTTCTGCACAAGTCTATCTGGAATTTTTAAAGAAGTTTTAGAAATTTAATTGTAACATAGATTTGGGGAACGATAACGTGAAACTTGAGTGTTATGTTTTTCCCTGTGTATTGATGCAGTTCAAACAGAATATGTGTTTATAATTTTTTATTTTATTTTTTTGAATAATGGCATTTACCTTACTGGCACGATGTATCAGAATTACACACTCTTAATTATAAAACAAGTGCTACTTGTATGTAGCTCTCAAATTTTCAAGTATGCATTTTTTTTTCTCTAAAATTGCTTCAAACCAATTTTTCTCTAATACCCTCCAGTCAAACTGCAATAACATGATTAATTTCACGACTGTGTGTATATGCTTTTTATGTACAGTACTTGCAGCATTTCTAGTTCATACCAAAGTCTGCATGCTTACCATAACATTTAACATTGGCTGACATTTATGTGGTATTTCATATGATTTGTAATGACATTTTACAGTGTTCAATTTGGGGCAGTTCACAGAATATTATGAACACATATATTTCAAATGTTTTTAATTCGAAGGAGTGTGTGTGTGTGTGTGTGTGTGTGTGTTTAAAGCTTTGTTGAACTAGTGATCCTTTAAGCCATGGTGATCTATAATAAAGTTGAAAGTAACAAGTGCCTTTACCTCATATCGTGTTCTTTTGACATGGTGTATTGTTTATGTGCGTATTCGGCCTGTCTGTGAAATGGCTTACAGTGGAAGCAGACCATTGCTCTGTGGGACATTTTTCTGCCCTTGTCCCATCAGTGTGTGGTTTTCTGTCTATCGGAAATATGTTTTAAATGCTGTGGTATTTATGTAGTGACTGAAGGTCCCCACGCCATCTCTGCAATATCTGATGTGTCTGTAGAGATAATTGAAGGCCCTTAATCTTCCAGCAGCAGATTCCTGCTGCAGCTTGGCGCCCATGCAGGTGGGCTCTTTCTCACGCATGTGTTCTCGTCCTACCCGCAGACCTGATACCTCCTGGTGTGTGCAACCTGTTAAATCCCTCAACCATTTACGCCAACAATGAGGTCAACTTGGCTGAGGTGGACATCTATGGGTTCGACTATGACTATACACTTGCCCTCTACTCCAGCGCTTTGGATGCCATGATCTACAACAAAGCTCGAGACTTTCTCATCGAGCACTACAAGGTACGCGCTCCACTATCGCACAGCCAGATGTTTTTGAAATCTGCGATGGTCAGGGTTTTCTTACCGGGCAGGGCTAACAATGCATTTTCATACAACCTTTCAGTATATTGATGGTTGACATGTAGCCTAGCCGTACCCCCCTGTTATTCGCTAACCTGCATGTCTTATCACTGGTTGAAGTGCAGAGCCTGGAGCTGTAGATAGGTTCCATGACGTCACATTCTGAATTTTCCTACTTTATCAGTATCCGCAGGACATTAGCAAGTATGACTATATCCCCAACTTTGCAGCACGGGGCCTTCATTATGATATTCAGAAGGTAAGTCGGTTTGTTTTCTGTTTATTGCAGACACTGCTTGGTTGATTAAGCAACATCCTCATTTGAAACTTTGAATCTGGGTAACTGACATGACACACATTAGTATGTACGGGTGAGCCTTCTTTAAAGATTGAAATTATGCCATCACCATAACTGTTAATGTGGGCCACTTTTAATATAATGCTTAAACTAGTTTGTCCATTCAAATAATGAATGCACATTTTCTTCTGCAGGGGCTCTTGATGAAAATAGATGCTTTCCATTACATCCAGCCGGGGACAGTGTACAGGTCAGTGGACAACAGGTCCACCGCAGAAATAACTGACGCAGAAAGGCTGCATGTGCGTCGAGTCACGTCCCCCGGCGCCCTTAGTCACACTGTGACTCAGTGAAACACCACTCCGTTGCTGCTGTTCTGACCCCTGCAGATTTCCCAAATGCAGGAATCTTCACTGCGTCCGTTTTGGTAGTGGGGTTCCGCATTCACATTTTACCCCAATGGTTTTGGGGTAATGTGTGGCTCTGCAAGTTAGGAATCTTTACCCTTGTCCAGTAAGGCACCCGTTAGAATCCTGCGGCCAGCAGAGTAATTGTACCATTGTTGGGCCCTTCCCACGGCCCGTAATCCAAAAACAGCTCCAGGGTGCTAAGTAACTGTCTGACCTTCTCTCTCACCCCAAGCCTGTATATGTGTGTCTCAAGGAGAGCAAGATGGAATTTGTCAAAATAAGAATTCTTGTGCTCCCGTACCTGTATAAATGGCAAATAAATAAATGGCAAATCATAATACAAGTAAATTTTATTTTGAAGGCAATATTCTGCCTAGTCAAGAGACGCCACGTGATCTATACTAGTCAGTGGTGGAGATTTCAGGTCCAGAGAGTACAAATCCAGACCGAGGTTTTGTTTCAACCAACCGGCTGAGTACTCTGTTACTGTGACTCTTTATACTCAACTGGTTGGTTGAAGACCCACAGATTGTCCATGTTTTTGCTCCATCCAAGCTCCCTACCAGATAGTCCACAAAACTTGGACTGTCTGTGGGTCCCTGAGGACCATATTGGCAAATGCTAATATAATTTAATTACACACACAAAATACCAGTGGAGATGAAATGTTTTGTTCTTCTCTACCATTGCCTGCTTTATAACCATTCAACATTTTTTTTTTCCTCCATCCCCGGTCTCTGCACAGAGGGTTAAGTCCGCTTTCTGATGAGGAAGTTCTGCGGCTCTATGATGGCACGCATCACGTTCCTCTTCACCAAGTCAGCGGCTTCTACGGCAAGGCAAGTTGGCCGTCGTGATTAAATCTGTCGATCATTGTGGGTGGGGTTTTTTTCCTTTAGTCAGCCTCCGTTTAACTTCATATACAACTTCTCCATGCGCGTAAAAGTTTGTTAGCGTTTTAATTGTTCCCAACCTGGAAATAAAGTATGCGAATTCTCACATTGAATTCTTCTGATTACTATTATTATTAATTTGTTGCATTATTTGCTTTGTTCCTGCCCCTGCTTTTTATTGATCAATTATAAACCAATACATTCTAAAAATGCCTTGTCTGACAAATCTCCCACAATGACAAGTAAGACATTCATTCATTGACAGATGGAAATGTTGTCTTTGCTGAACACACCCAGAATTCTTTAGAAAAACCACAAAAAATCTCTGTTGCCAGGTTACATATTTAAACTCTCCACATTAAGTGGCTCAAAGTTCTTGCTTAAATTCTTATTTGTAAGGCTTTCCTAGGGAGGAAAGGGCTCTCATGTCCTCTGGTCATTCAGAATGTCATTGTCATAGCTCTTTCTACAAACAAGCAGGAATTTGTATGTGTAAGAGTTGACTGGCATTGTCAGTCAGCCAAATGGACCAAATGTTTATTTTATGCAGCGTTTTTTTTTTTTTTTTGTGTGTGTCTTGCTTATGAATTCATACGACTCGGTACGACTTCGGAAATGTGACTGTGTTTTTCCTCGCTTCCCTGTCCTTGCATTATAACTGAAATGTTTTTTTCTATTCATTGCGCCTATTCCCACCGTTCTCCAGGAAGGCACAATGTTACACTGCTGCAAATCCTTTAAAAATTGCTATGTTACATTGAGTCTCTTATTTATGACTCCTTTCTGCTCATTGCACATTTGCTTCTTTCTCTCTTCAGGGCCCTAAAATGAAGCAATTTATGGATGTGTTCTCCATCCCAGAAATGACTCTCCTTGCCGTTGCCAATGACTACTTCATCACCAATGACATAGACTATGATCCTGTGCACCTCTACAAGGACGTGTCTGTGAGTGCATTCGTATTCATCAGACTGTGAGGGGCTGTGTCCTTCCTGGGTCTCCATGAACCTTGTGTTAATTGTTTCACTCGGAAGTCACGCCGACAAATGTGAAAGAACAGGGAAGAAAAGGGGAAAGCAGACTGACTTTCACTACTAAACTTCTCTTACAACTTCAGTTGCAATTTATTTACTTAAAACCCTCACTCCTCCTACCACAAAGAACGTTCTTTATAATTTTTAAATATTAGTAATCTGTTCGTTCAGCTGCCACAATCACATGTCTAGTTTACTAAGAAACTTAGCTCGATTTAAATGTTCCATTACTCTGCCGGCTTTTTACTTTATTTGTAACGCTTTGTTTCTCAAACTGCTAATCTGTTGGTGGTACTCTCTCTCCATTTAATGTCAGGCCACGACAAATAGCCGTTTTCTTTTGCGTATGGGGTGAAAGAGCGTCTTTGTCCTTCCTGATCTGGTAGTTTGAGCGCCAAGGCAGCTGAAGTCTCCACTTTCAATTCTGCTTTTTCCTGGCCGCGAAGAAGGGAACCTCCCCGCGTGCGGCATCCATGCGAGCAGTGAGCAGGGTCTAAGCCAGCCGCGGCGGTCTGTCCGAGCCGCGGCGGTCTGTCCGAGCCGTGTTTGCTCAGCCGGCCGCTGCGAGCGGAACGTTGTGTTCCAGCTCCGCTATAATCTCACCAAAACTTAGTCTGTGTAGATGCCACGTCTGATTACACACGCAAACTTGTTCTGGCCCCCGTATCAAAAATTGCAAGGCTGGGCGTGAGCGCAAGGAAATCTGGAAAGAATTTCCTGGAACTAAGGCTATTTTTCTAATGTTTATAAACGCGGACGGTGGGGACGCGCTGGCACTGCTTACATGTGCTGGGCTTGGGAAAGAACAGTGACAACAAAACTGCTTGTTCAGCTAAAATTGTGTTACACTTTAAAAATTTTACAACAGTCATTTTTAATTTGAAATTGATATTTTATGTAGCTATAATTTTCCTTCCCGCCTGCTCAGGTTTTCGTTTTCTACTGAAGCCGTGAAATCCCACAACGCAGACTTTATTCACTTACTGAGTGGTCTTAATGACTTTTATCTTCCAGGATGCTGTAGGAATGGTACACATTAAAGGCTACATGTACAAGTGGATCATGCAGGACCTGGGTGAGTCAGGCCCTGTCTGTGCTGCTCTTTCCCGCAGCTTTGTCAGCTATACACTGTAAATGTCAGTTGGGAACAGAACCTTACTGTGTGGTTTGTCTAAGCTATAATATGCAGTGTTTCACCCGTCCACCCTTAATCAGTTGTCCAGTGCAGGGTCACCGTTATTATTATACAGAACAGATAATACCCAGCAGCTTAAGGTTAAAACCAGTGCCAGAAAAAGTGGGCTGTGGAACAGTCTTTAGATGCAGTACATTCTAGTGCAGGCGTGGCCAATCTTACCCGCAAAGCGCCGGTGTGTGTGCAGGTCTTTGGGGTAACCTTTAGGTCAGCTGTTCAAACCCAGGTGTGAGGACTCTTCAGCCAATCAGTCCTCTAATTAGTAATCTAATTTGGGAGTTGCAGCGAAAAGCCGCCACACAGCGACCTTTTCAGGGTAAGTGCCATGAAATGCCTGTATTGAGAAGTACAGTAAAAGGAAAGATTGTAACACATGATCTAAAGCATATAGCAAAGGCTCAGGGAGAGTTTGCCACTTCTCTGCAGCCTTGGCAGATTCCATAATTGTCACAGTTTCTCTAAATAGCCCACTTTGTATCCTGATCTTGCAAAGCAGCCACAGCTTCTCATATGATGTCCCTGCAGCAACTGCATCCTCCTGATTGCATTCTTAAGCAGCTCCAGTTTCTCCTCGCCAGTCAGAATGTTCCTCTAGCGCTTTGTAAACCCAGTCATGGTGCTGTGGTGATACCCAAGACAAATAACGCTTGATGAGTAATGCTACAAAACTCTAGCAAGGGCTGGACTTCAGGGATCTTTGTTTGAGTTTGCTGTTCGACTGTCATTGTGAGAGTCTGTACTGTGGTAACAGCATTTTAAATAATGAATACACTTTCTAAATTTTTATTGGAGGGAAAAATTGTGAATGATGTTGTTTGAACGCCAGATCCCTCCCCCCCAATATTAATGTTGCCCCTTTGCTTTCCTAATCACTGGGTAAGTCGTGCTGGTATGTGTGCGCACCCACTGAATTTCAAATGTATGCTGAAACATGGTTAACTATACAGACCTGCTCAAAGTCCGTGATCCATAATCCCATTAAGGCTGTAGTGTTATTGGTAAGATAATTTAACACCGTCTCCCCTCCATTTTCTCCCAGTGATTTACTTCCTTTGGCCTAAATGGTTACCTTCTTCAAGGGGACTGTTTTTCTTTGACTGACACACTCAGCTAGAGCAGTCGATTTGCCATAATGATATTGCAGATTGTGTCCTTAGTCTGCTGTGTTCCTCCATCTCAGAAAAGTACATCCTGCGAGGAGACGAGACCTACGCCGTCCTCCACCGGCTGGTCAGCAACGGCAAGAAGCTCTTCCTCATCACCAACAGCCCCTTTAGCTTTGTGTGAGTGTCTATCCCCCCCCCCCCCCCAATGAAGGTGCTATCACTCTCAGCAATCGTGTGACACTTTCAGGTAAAATATCTGGTTTTTGTGTTTCGGCTAAGAAAACACTCAAGTGTCACCACTGAGTTCTCCTGCTAATTGAAACTTAATAGGGATCGGCGTTTTTACTTTTTAAGTTTGACTGTTTACGTTTTACAAGTATTTTTGAAATATGTGTAAATTCTTTGTGCCTCCAATCAAAGGGACAAAGGCATGAAGTACATGGTTGGAAAGGACTGGAGGGATTTCTTTGACGTGATTATAGTTCAGGCCGACAAACCACACTTCTTCAATGATTGTGTAAAGTAAGTTTCTTGTCTTTCACAGTAATGCTGAGAAGTTGTGATGTTTGTAAACAGTACCTCCAGCATTCTTATGCTTACCCATGCTCATGAGTGTTTAAGTGTATATCTATATTTTTTAACCGTCTGCATGTGCACTGTAGTTATCAGATTTGATAAGCTTTTCAGCAATACGGGATGCGTAACTGGATTTTGGTGGCACAGGATTGTACTTGTACTCTTCTGCGATAATTTAGATCATGTCGACACGACACAGAAAGTAAAAATGTGCTCATGGCTTTTTTTTCGCTTTTGTTTTGCAGGCCGTTCAGGCGTTTGGACAGCAATGGTGACCTTCAGTGGGACAAAATCAAATGTTTGGACAAAGGCCAAATCTATAAACAGGTGGGCAGAGTTGGGCAGACCATGACCGTCAGCTACTCCTCCATGCCAGAGGAGCAAAGGTGGGAGTTGAGGGGCCGAAAGTTCCCCGGCCCATTTGTGGCCCAGTACCAAGTCTTCCAAAGGCTCTGAGAAGTAGCTACACAACGTGATGTAAACACAATTGGGTGTGAAGCGTAGAGATGAAGCTCATTAGTGGAATGTTTACAACTGACTTGAATCTCTGTCCCCTCACAATGGCTGGGACTTTAGCTCTGTAGGTAAGGTTGTAACCTCACAGCTGATTCATAATTCTGCATAGTCTGCATCGTGGGTAGCCATGTCAGACCGTGCAACTCCTCAGAAAAGTAACTTCAGGCCTCGGGCTACGGCGTTAAGGTATACCGTAGGGTACGTGGCTCAGCCGTTCTGACCGCGTAGACAAACAAACAAGTCCGCCTTCAGCCGGATTGAGAGCTTGATTCCCTGCCTGTGATCATACCTCTTGCCTTAGTCCTCCCTGCTCTGTACGTTCTGTAATAAGCTCGAGATCACAATGACCCCAAATTAGATGATTCGGTTTGGGATTGAAGGATCAGTGATCTTAAAGTTTGGTGTCCTGGCTGATATGTAACGGCTTACCACAATATAAAGACGTTTATTAGCAGCTGTGACGCGAACCCCTTCTGTAATGCCGTAGAACAAAGAGAACCAATAATCATGCTGACATCAGAAGACGGCACCCTGTAGAGTGTTGAACTCCTTGCCCTGTGGGGAACTGCAAGGGTCAGAATTTATAGCTAGGTGCAGCATCAGCCCCCCCGACACCCCCCCCCCTTTTATTTGTGTTGCACAAAAATAAAGGGCAACCTGAGTATATTATACAGGCTTCAAAGAAAGGCTTGGGACGCTTGCTTGATTCCGTAAAATATTAAATTGATTTGTTTAAAATCATTACTTTTATTAATTTGTTTACAAAACCTATATCACATTAGAAACAACCAGCAGTTTTAAGTAAAACATTAATTTCAAGCAATAATAAATTAAACACAAATTATAGTTCTAAAAGAGCTATATCATAACATATATCATTGACAAGCAGTCTCATTTGGTGCTTTTTAATTAGGTTATTGCAAAGGTGTTACTAACACCAAACATTTGTGTTTGGTGTTGCTTTGAGAGCCAGCGACTGCAATTGCAATTAATAGCAAAATGGCAAGAACAAAACTGAATGAGTTGGTCAAAACAATTGACTCTATATTCAGTGTCTGTATGGCAGGTATGTTAAACATTGCTTGTCAACAGATTTTTGTTATGAAACCAATAAATTCGTAACATTTTTATAGAATTTTTGTAAGACGAGACTTTCTGTGAGTACTGTACATAATACTATTATTATGATATTGCATAAGAAAAAAAATTCAAAAGATTACGTCCTTTGCTGGTTTATTAATTCCCATAGGTAACTTTAGAAAGATGTTTTTTTTGTGGTTTTATCCATGCATTGATACTCACAGTGGACAGGTTACGCTCATTCAGTTTGACCACAATCATAAACCACCTCTCTTCACTTGATCTAAAAATCTAAAAAAAAACATACAAAAAGAGGCTGAGGGTTTGATTTTTCTCTTCAGCAATTAACAAAAAATTAATCTTGCTCAAACTTTTATGCAGTTAATGCAGTACTGTATTAAAAAAAAGATTTGGTTTATCCTGGTTATGAAGCATGCACCAAACACAATTAGAATCATATAAAATGTTTTATTTCCTTTGTGTAGTTTGCTAGTTTGTGTATTTAAAAAAACAGTTTTTGAATATTTGAGTATTGCTGATTTACGGAGAGTGCCGGACTTTTCATGGTTTCGGCTGATTGTACCTTTGCCGGCAGAGATTCCTCCTCCTCAATCTGTGCAGCAGATTCGCTTTTGACAAACACTTGTGGTGCCAGACGGCGTCATCCATCAAACTGCTATCTTTGATCTTGTGGTGTGGCTGGTCCTCACAAAGCATCTCATGACATGAGGCTTTACAGTCTGTCTCTGGCAACCCAGTGTTTCCCTCACCTTCTCTGAAACATGCATTTATTTTGCATTTTAATTTAAATTTGTTTAAATAAATTAAAAATTGCTTTACCACTCTTATAAAATTCTCTACCTTGTTTGTTGAGCACAGTCTCGTAAGTGATTAGGAGCCACTACATATGGATTTTGTTAATGTTCTGAGATCAAGGGTGAATATGAAGCTGAAGTCAGCTGTACATGTAGCTATCATTGCACGTTGCCATGACTTGCACCACTGGATTCCCCAAGGTATGGATTTGGTCCGTTACACCTTTTTGGTGTGTGGAAATGGTGCTGGCTGTCAGCCAGAGTAAACGTGTCATTGTCAGTTGACGCACATTTTCTTTATATATCTCCAAGATTCGTTTTCTCTCCCAGTTTACTGTAGTTTGGTCAGTTTTTTTTTTTGCCAGCTTTTCTTGCTGTGAGAAACAAGTAATCGTGATCGTTTCTCTTTCCTCAAAGCTTTTTGCTTGCATTCCTTGACTATTCTGTCTCGAAGCACTTGGATTAGTGGAGTTCTTTTATTTTTTCCTTATTATTGCAGCTGTTCATAGTTCTTGTTGGTAATTCTGGTTGCCATGGAAGCCTCTTAACCTTCCTCTAACAGTAGGTTTTCCTTACAGGCAGCTTTGAAAGGATCTAATTTGATACAAAATGCCTCTGTATCCCATTTCATGGTTTCTTAATCATGTTCATTGTTTCAACTTGTTTTTGTGAGTTGCTTGACAAATTTTGGTCGATACCAAAAACTTGCGAAACCACTAAGTAATGTATTGGTTTTTAAATACGATTATATGGTGGTTAGTAATTGCCAGCCCCCCTGGCTTTTGAAGGAATCCTTTAAGGCTCTTCCTGTCTCTCAATGCTGTGATTGTTTCATGGAGGAGCCCAGCGCTCTTTCTGCTAAGCACCACGAGCCACGGGCTGAGTGACACATTCCTCAGGCAGATTGTCACAGACGGAGCAGGCAGTGGCATGAGCGACATCATCGCATGTCAGGCCTCCTTCTTTGGCTGGGTGCATCCTGACGGCGCCGAATGAGGCCTGCTGTTCCTCTGTGGATGGGTGTCCGCCCTGCTGTCACCCCACCCTTTGGCTTTTTCTGCAGGCGTGCATCCTGCACGTAGCACCGGGTGGCATAAAGTGTGTTTTCTTTTCCCCTTTGTAAGTTACTGTCTAGGAAGCCAGACAAGCCTCTGCGACTTACAGCCGTCATTGGTTTGTTTTATTTATTTTTAAGGCATCAAATTTATTTGGAAACAGCCAGACATAATTAGGGAGCAAAAGCCAGCTTAAGTTTCCCCAGAGGGTAACCTTTGTTAAAGTGCATTCTTTGTGTGTGTGTGTGTGTGTGTGTGTGTGTGTGTGTGTGTGTGTGTGTGTGTCAGTATGAAATTATTTATAATTATTCATAATTTATATGGTTACTTCATTGAAAATTACTACACTTCCCCAGCTGTTTACTTCACTTGGCCAGCATGCATTTATTTAGCAGTAAATAAAACAGCTGATGTTTCAAACCTGATTCCTTAGACTGGCTCCCACTTTTCAGCACATTCAGTTATGCACCCCTCCCCCTTTCTGTTGCCGTGGCTTTCCCTGATTGGCCTGATCACCGAGCACATTGACCAATCGGATATCTGTTGCCATGTTCTGCTGCAGAGCTTGAATTATAGAAACAGCAGGCTTTTGGAGGTGATTGAAAGAGCATTGATGTCACCGTTTATAATCATTTATCTGTTTGCCATTAGGGGACATTTCTCATAGGCTGTGTACCACGTTTATTTTTCTCCATCCCCCATTAAGTTTTCCTGGACTGAGAAACTTGACTTTTTAAAAACATTTTGGGTGCTTTGAGTATAATCCTTAGAATTCAGAAGTATATAAAAAACAGAACTGGTTCATTTTAGATGCATACAAGTATGTGAAATTCCCATAGTATGTTACTGAATATCCCTGTTTGATACTACGATGTGTGAAATTGTCTACTTTTGAGTACAGTTGCATGTATGTCATACAATTAAAAATAATGGTTGGGGTAATTTTTTGGAAATTTTTACATTTTAGAATACATTCATGAAAGTAGCTCAAATTTACTGTGCTTTGTATTTTATATTTACTTGCGTAATGGCTTTTCTGGCTGGCTAATGTTAACCTCTTTTGTTCCTTTTTTGTTAGGGAAACCTGTTTGATTTCTTGAGGTTGACTGGTTGGAGGGGATCCAAGGTATTCTATTTCGGGGACCATCTTTACAGTGACCTGGCAGTAAGTGTATTTCCCGCTCTGTCCGCCTGTTTTACTATGACTCATACGGACACGTGTCCATGTGTCGAGCTTCTCAACCTGTGTCGTCTGACATGTGCCTCTTTTGGGGAAAATATCATCCAGACCATTTTATGGGATCCCTGGAAACTCCAGGTTATTTCCTGTGTCCCATAAAATACTTTCACTTTGCATTATTAGCAAGGCTTTCTCAGCTGTCCAGGTCCCTCTGTATTGGTCTGGCAGTATCTTAAAACAAACACTGAAGTTTAAAAATAGATTTGGTAGATGCCCTGTGCACCTCATCTGGGCTGGAGTGTTTGAAATGTTCCGCCTTGTTTCCAAGCCGCATCGATCTCTCTGTTTGCCCAAGTTATTTGAGGTCATAGCGAAAACACTCTCTGAGCTAAATTTTGTTGCAATATCCCTTAAAAGTATTCTCCTAATTTTCTTAGGAAATGGTGCCATGTATTCTATTACATTTTTTTTTTTAAATGGACTTGGTCACAAAATTGGAACTAAATTGAGATAAGTTCTTAACCCCTGGGGAAACTCTGATAATGTCAGAAGAGGACTGATGGAAGTGGAATATTAAACTGAAATTATGCTTAGCAGTGCTACCAAAGGAGCCGTGTCTGGAAAGCAGTAATTATTATTATGAAGAGCAGTTAAATTGATTGTAAGAATATAACTAGGTTCTTTAAAAAATACTGTTAGTAATGTGCGGTACAGTTCTGCTTCCCAAAGTAAATATTCAGCGTCCAAAGTACAACTGGATAAAAGGGGATTCAAAAGTGAATCAGAACTAAATTTCAGGTAAATTGCACATTGTCTACCTAAGTAATCATACATAATCATCATTATCCAAACTTAATAAAGCCACTGCATTACCTTTTCAGGCACCAGTAGGAAGGACAGAAAGTGAGGAATTTGGGTGGAATTGATTTGTGTCTAGTGAGTTGTAGGGTTGGGTGTTGCAGGTATGTGTGTGTGACGATGACACTTGGTCGTGATGCTGCGCCCATAATCAGCAGCTCGCCGGCTTCAGCAGAGTTTCACTGCCGGGCTCTTGAGCGAGGCCCGTAACCGCAGTCGCTCTAACTGGCTGACACTGCTTTCTCAACTATGTGTTGCTTTAGATAATAGTGTCTGCTGAGTTAATGTCTTCATTTCTCTCCCCTACCCAGGACCTGATGCTCCGGCACGGCTGGCGGACTGGGGCCATTGTTCCTGAGCTGGAGATGGAGACGAAGGTGGTGAACACAGAGCAGTATGCTCAGAGCCTGACCTGGCTGCAGGCTCTCACCGGGCTCCTGGAACGCATGCAGGTGCTTTGCTGCCGTCACTCAGTAACCGTGTTGCTCGCCTTTTAACCTACAGGCCCGTAAGCCTAAGTCTGTTGGTCTTTCGGTATCCTTGGTCGTATCCCTGTTTAATTGATTCGAGAGCAGTTTCAGAAATCTAATGCTGCTTTTGCCTCACCTCTGCCTGCTCTTAGCTGCATCGTGATCCTGAGTCCAAGAAGGTTCTCCAGGACTGGCTGAAGGAGAGGGAGGAGCTGCGGTGAGTTAATGCTTCCGTCTTCACGCACCTCTTCCTGACTTCGGTCTGTCCCATTTCCTGGGCTCACCACCTACGAAGGTAGGGGGGGAAGAAAAAAAAAACCCCGTCGACTCCTCTCTTCACAGGGCCGTGACCAAGAACCTGTTCAACCCTCAGTTTGGCAGCATCTTCCGCACCTGCCACAACCCCACGTACTTCTCGCGCCGCCTGTGCCGCTTCTCTGACCTCTACATGGCATCCATCAGCTGCCTGCTGAATTACGACCTGTCCTACACCTTCTACCCTCGCCGCACACCTTTACAGCACGAAGCTCCACTGTGGATGGACCAGCTGTGCACTGGCTGCATGAAGACGCCCTTCCTGGAGGAGATGGCCCACATCCGCTGAGACACACGTACTGGACACACTGTGTATTTATATATTTAATATATATACATACACACATACTGTTAGCAACACTTACAAACTGAAACATAGGTCAATGCTGCTCTTTGCCTGGGATGGTGCTATTGTACTTTGCAAGCAAGTCACAGGTTAGACAAGGTTTCCATTAATGGTTCCATTACTGGTAATACCTAAAAACAGAAATGGTCTCACTTCAGCGTTTGCTTTACTTTAAGTGCAGTATACACAGCTTGACTGTGGAAATCCAAATTATGCATATAGTTTGGTGTGAAACTGGACGTTGTTAGGTTTAAGACTCTCTGGCACTTTTGAACAAAATAAACGAAATTTCAGTGTCATTTTTTACCTTTTCCTGCCACTTCTCTTGATGCTGAACTTCAGCTTTTGAAAGCGTATACCTTGGAAACGTGCCACTAAGGGTGACAAAGTACGCATGAGTCTCTTGTTAAGCTAAAGGAGGGTTTGTGGGGCCGGCAGCTGGGTAATGAGCAAAGATCCAGCCGTAGAATAGTGTTGGAAAGGTATGTAGCATTGTGTTGTCGGGACAGGGAGCCAATGTAAGCTGGGTTACTGTTGGAGGGGGAAAAATATGAGCTGTAATTACCAAGAACTCTGCTTGCAAATGTGAAGTATTGCGATATTTTCTTGTGTTTACTGGTGATTTGGAAAAGTGTATCCGAAACATCTTTGTTTGAATCAAAACCTTGGGTTCGCAGTGGTATGTGGTAAGGTGGTGGTAGGGCGAGCAGCCTGCTTTAATAGCCTTTAGTATTTAACGTGAAACATGGACTTAGCATAGCTGCTGGGGGATGTAACAGCCAAATCCTATAAAAGCGCACAACATGATGCTAGGATTTTTTTTTTAATACTTAATGTACTATATTCTTTGGATTTCTTGTTTGAGAATTCATAATAAAAGTTTTATACTGAGTCCTGTTTGATCTTATACAGCGTGATGCAAGTCTCTCCACGGAGCACAAATTGTCTCTCACACACACACACACACACACACACACACACTAGTGTCAAGGTTAATAGCATCCATCCGCCTCCCTTGTGGGATGTGGGTTTTGATGTAGCTGTTTGATTGTTTGCAGCCCAGATTGTCACAGGATGCCCTGTAAACAAGCCATAATTTAAAATCACTCTTTGTTTCTATCCTCTCCCTGCCCTCCAATAAATCATTTAAATATTAAAGCCCTAACTACGTCACCTCTCAAGTATCATTTTTTTTTGTTTTATGCACTAAATTGTGCTTAATTTTTTTATTACAAGTGAGGGACTGCAGCCTGCTGAAATTACTTTAATTCCAATTTCATGTTTTTTTGCATATTACAGGTAATATCCATCTTCTGGCTGTTTATCTTTGGCAGGGCGGCTATCCCAATAATCACAGGGCACAATCACATCTGGGGTGTACACACCCACACACAAACAATAGGGTCAATTTAGAGATGCCAGTTAGTCTAATTATAACTCTGAACTGCGGAAGGAAATTACACAAAAAGTGCAGAGCACACAGAGAGCAGAGTTGGGACTCCAAATCCCTCTCCTGTGAAACAACAGTGTGCGTCAGTATTTAAGGCTACTATAAATGTTTAATTCCCAGAGAAGTGTTTGCAGGATATGCTGCTTGGTTTCCCTCTGCTGGAATATTCCGGTACTGCAATTTCAAGCCCTGCAAATATAACTCCTGAGATAGCAATGTCTGCATTTGATGAAGACCAGAGTCTCAGTTTTAATATTATCTTCAAAATTTGTGATAAATCACAAATAAGAATGTAATATATGAAAATATTTTCTAATAGCTGCATAGGACAACCAGGTATAGAAAATGGATGGTTGGATGGACAGTGAGATATTTATACCCCAAAATATTCCAAATTAAAAGAAATAAGCGAAATATTTGGCATATTTGTGGTTTCTTTGATTTTTAAACACCAAATGAAAAGTTTGTGTTCTGAAAAGTTGAGCTGCTAAAATTATACGGTAAAAGTTTACTTACTAAAGTACATAGATATGTATACATAGATGAACGTGTAAACTATTATATACATATACAAACAGGAAGTGCATACAGATCTATATGAATGCAACTGATAAACAGAACATGACACAAACACAGCTGTGTAGCCTTAGAAACATTATGATGAGGATGACGGTGATCATTATCAATAATTTATACTAATACAATCATTTATATTATTGACAATAATCAAACTCACTAACCACCATTAACATTTGATGGAATTTATGTTTATTTGGTCTATCTATTTAAATATGACCTTATATTTTGTTTGATATGGATGTTCACATTTGAAATATTCACAGGTTTCTTCACACTATACCAGGGTAAAATATGGAGGGAAATCCCGGACATTTTTCAAAAGGAATTGCGTTTTCCATATGTGGACGCATAAAGTGTGACATAATTCAAATGCAATTGCAAATTTTCCATTAGCGTTTGCTTTTTCGCTGGACCGTATTTTAAACCACTGATATTGTGGCAGCGTATTTGAAACAGCGAAAATAACGGGACTGAATATTGTAAAGCAGAAATAAGAGGACTGAATGTTACTGCTTGAATAAAACACATGGAAGATTTTCAACTGAATTTGTTCTTTTGAAATTTATTTTGAGGCGAAATTAAATGAACTGAATTCATGTGGTTGAATTATAAACATGCACTTTAAAATACGTATGTTTTGGAACTTAATTTTGGATTATTCGATAAGTGTAATTCAACGTGTTTTTTTCATCAACGACTTTTGTCATTAACTAACTTCCACACCCCTCTTGTGGTCGTCTACTGCGAGTGACGTCACTCCCCATACAATCACGCCCACAGTATAGACCCAACCCTGACCCTTGTAAGACATGGGAAATGCAATTGCAAATGGCCTTTGCTTTTTCATTTGAAATGTGGCAGTCAGTGTTCGTTCGCGAAAGCGGAAAAGCAAACGGTAATGCAAAATTTGCAATTTCATTTGAATTATGTCACACTTTATGCGTCCATATATGGAAAACGCAATTGCAAATGCAATTTGCAATTCCTTTTGAAAAATGTCCGGGATTTCCCTCCATAGTAATATGCTGTTCTCAAACAAATGCAACAAGACCAAGACCTGTGTGAAGCAATCTATATTCTGAAATCAGTCACTATGATGATGATATTTTATAAATTCAGCCTGTGTTGGCACTGCGAGTTCTACATATAAATCAAAGCAATCAAAAAGGGTTCCTTGGTACTACGATCTCTCATCCTGAGTCCCAGTGCCTTTGTCTACCCGGGAGATGATCCAGACAGGCAATCAATCTGTGAATTTCCAATCTGCCCATGTGTGCCAGCGCTGTAGGGGAGATGGGGGGGGGGTTCTCGGCTGCTACTGCAGTGCAGATGTAACGAGCAGAGGCTGGAGCAATGAGCAGGGAGGGCCGCCGCCACACAATTACAATTCTCATCTCTCTGCCAAGTATTTCAGATCAGAAGCAATTACTGCTCTGCGCAGTTGCAGGTCGTTTCCATGCAACTGAAATGAACGAGCTGACAAGTGGGGAAAGGAAAGGCATCGGGGCCAGAGTCTGCCGGCTCTCCTGCACGGCACAAAATGGCAGCGGACAGAAAAACAGGCTTAGTGAGTGACCAGTAGTTGGCGGAGCCTGCTTGCAGGCTTGCTAACTGCTAACGACAGCAGATGGTATGCATGGTGTTCCCCTGCTGTTTACCACGTGCTGTAAATCATGTTTGTGCTCAGCCCAACTCTGCTAACTCTGCTGACTCATGACTCAAACGCCAGCATCGTTTTCTGATGACAGTAGAGGGTCTCATCAGTAGTAATGATTAGTCAGCATACTGACTTGAGGTGCAGTAGCTCATGGACTGGTGCAAAAGCAACGATCCGTCTTTCAACGTGGACAAAAACAGAAGAGGAAGTCCCAGGTTGTCCACTCCCCGTCGAACATCAAGGGATCTGTGGTAGAGAGAATCAGGGGCACCAAATTTCTTGGAGCGCACCTGGCGGAAGACCTCACCTGGATTCTCAACACCACTACCCTGGTCAAGAAGGCACAACAGTGTCTTGACATGCTGCAGTGGCTGAGGAGTGGCTCGCCACATCCTACAGAGGCACTATAGGGAACGTCCTGAGCAACTGCATCACTGCCTGGTTTGGGAGTTTCAAGGCCCTGCAGCGGATTGTGCGTTCGGCACACAGAATCATCAGGACCTCTCTCCTTTGCATAACGGATATTTCCCCCAAACACTGCACCGGCATGGCCTCTGCCAGAGGGTGCAGTTCTGCCAGGTTCAGCAACAGCTTCTTCCCAAAGGCTGTCAGGACATTAAATATCCCACTGTACCCATCTTACCTCACACCCATTCCTGAGACCCCCCCCCCCCGCCAACTGACATTAGGTACTGTAACATTATCTATTCATTCCATTCCACTGCTTTTATGTTGCTGTATTTACATAGAATTCTTTTTCATTGTGCCTAGTCCCTGATCTGCATTTTGCACTTTAAGTACAGTCACTAGCAGTTCGTATGTTGCACTGTGGTCCTGGTGGAAACGCTATTTCCTATATACCTGCATAACCATGGAATTGCATTAAAGCCCACTTAACTTGCCTTGATATAAGTATATATACATAATTTTCCATAACAGGTTATCTAGCCTGGAACTGATCCCAGGAAGCAGAAGGTTCAAGACTGGCAGCGGTGGACATTTCAGGTCCAGAAAGTAAAAATCCAGACCAAGATTTTGTTTCAACCAGCCAGCTGAGTACTCTGTCACTGTGACTTTTTATGCCCAACTGATTGGTTGAAACAAAATCCTGGCTTGGATTTTTACTTTCTGGGTCTGAAACGTCCACCTCTGAAGACTGGGGACACTGGTAAGGATACCCGTTCATCAGAGGGTGCACTGCACTATGGGGAATTTAGAGACCACACCTAACTGCATGGCTTTCTAATGTACATGGACTCAGAGGCACCCACACATAAACAGAAGCTGCACATATAAAAATCAAATCCACAGCCCTGCAGCTGCCTAGGTGTGTGGGGGGGGGGGCAAACCAATGGAAATTGACTGTCAGCTTATAAGATGTTAAGATGGCCAGTCATGGAATCTAACCAGTGGGATAACAGCACATGTGACAGGCATGCTGGGTCCGTCAGGCCTCCTGCTGCCGGTCCTTGGTGCCGGGATGTTTGTCACCAGTCTGTTTGTACTAATCCCTTTGAAATTTAAAAGCCCACTCAGACACACAGGATGGCCTTTTTCTCCCCCAATATTTACCAGTCGCTTTGAGTCTTATGAAAAAAAAAGACTCTCCAATTAATGTAGTAAGACACCTCATCCTCCATTATTAATAAAACCTTTCCCTGTAGCAGCACATTCCCCTTCCTGCAGATTAGCTGAGTCGCTTCTCTTTGTGCCGGCCGGGGGGGGGGGGTACCTTTACTATGAGACGGAAGGCCTGACAACCCAAACTGATGCCGTAAAACTACTAAGCTTTGTAACGTCTTAAGGTTCAATTATACAAAATTTTCATTTAGTTATAGGATAACTATTTTAAGATAAAAAAAAACAAAAACATTAAAAATAGTATCGACTTTTTAAAAGTATCTGACATTTCTAAAGCAATGACCGTGTCTCAGTTGGGAGTGTGTCCGTCACCATAGAACCTGTCCTGTGTTCAAATATCATCTTACATCTTTGTAAGAGCAAAACAAAGTAACTCAGAAGTTACATCCTTTAGTTGTGATTTGATGGGCTTTGTCAGTGACACTGCACTGCGCCTCAAAGATTCTGCTTGATTTTACACCCTTATTTTGATCATTTGTGGGGAGGGAAGGGATGAGAAAGATGCTTTAATGTCCTTAAAATACATTTAAAAAAACACAGCCAGGTTGCCTACTGAAATTGTTTT